AAGTGATCACAGATTATCTTTCTTTTTGCCCTAGCGCCTCTGGTTTAGCCAGAAAATGAACTTTTAAGTTTTCACACAAAAAATCAATTTTTGTTGGGAAATTAAAGTGATCACAGATTTTCTGGTTTAGCCAGAAAATGGACTTTTAAGTTTTCACCCAAAAAATCGATATTTGTTGGGAAATTAAAGTGATCACAGATTTTCTTTCTTTTTGCCCTAGCGCGTCTGGTTTAGCCAGAAAATGGACTTTTAAGTTTTCACCCAAAAAATCGATTTTTGTTGGGAAATTAAAGTGATCACAGATTGTCTTCTTTTTGCCCTAGCGCCTCTGGTTTAGCCAGAAAATGGACTTTTAAGTTTTCACCCAAAAAATCAATTTTTGTTGGGAAATTAAAGTGATCACAGATTTTCTTTCTTTTTGCCCTAGCGCGTCTGGTTTAGCCAGAAAATGGACTTTTAAGTTTTCACCCAAAAAAATCAATTTTTGTTGGGAAATTAAAGTGATCACAGATTATCTTTCTTTTTGCCCTAGCGCCTCTGGTTTAGCCAGAAAATGAACTTTTAAGTTTTCACCCAAAAAATTAATTTTTGTTGGGAAATTGAAGTGATCACAGATTATCTTTCTTTTTGACCTAGCGCATCTGGTTTAGCCAGAAAATGGACTTTTAAGTTTTCACCCAAAAAATCGATTTTTGTTATGAAATTAAAGTGATCACAGATTATCTTTCTTTTTGCCCTAGCGCCTCTGGTTTAGCCAGAAAATGGACTTTTAAGTTTTCACCCAAAAAATCAATTTTTGTTGGGAAATTAAAGTGATCATTCTTTTTGCCCTAGCGCCTCTGGTTTAGCCAGAAAATGGACTTTTAAGTTTTCACCCAAAAAATCGATTTTTGTTGGGAAATTAAAGTGATCACAGATTATCTTTCTTTTTGCCCTAGCGCCTCTGGTTTAGCCAGAAAATGGACTTTTAAGTTTTCACCCAAAAAATCATTTTTTGTTGGGAAATTAAAGTGATCACAGATTATCTTTCTTTTTGCCCTAGCGCCTCCGGTTTAGCCAGAAAATGGACTTTTAAGTTTTCACCCGAAAAATCGATATTTGTTGGGAAATTAAAGTGATCACAGATTATCTTTCTTTTTGCCCTAGCGCCTCTGGTTTAGCCAGAAAATTAACTTTTAAGTTTTCACCCGAAAAATCGATTTTTGTTGGGAAATTAAAGTGATCACAGATTTTCTTTCTTTTTGCCCTAGCGCGTCTGGTTTAGCCAGAAAATGGACTTTTAAGTTTTCACCCAAAAAATCGATTTTTGTTGGGAAATTAAAGTGATCACAGATTTTCTTTCTTTTTGCCCTAGCGCCCCTGGTTTAGCCAGAAAATGGACTTTTAAGTTTTCACCCAAAAAATCTATTTTTGTTGGAAAATTAAAGTGATCACAGATTGTCTTTCTTTTTGCCCTAGCGCCTCTGGTTTAGCCAGAAAATGGACTTTTAAGTTTTTACCCAAAAAATCGAATTTGTTGGGAAATTAAAGTGATCACAGATTTTCTTCCTTTTTGCCCTAGCGCGTCTGGTTTAGCCAGAAAATGGACTTTTAAGTTTTCACCCAAAAAATCGATTTTTGTTGGGAAATTAAAGTGATCACAGATTATCTTTCTTTTTGACCTAGCGCCTCTGGGAAATTAAAGTGATCACAGATTTTCTTTCCTTTTGCCCTAGCGCCTCTGGTTTAGCCAGAAAATGAACTTTTAAGTTTTCACCCAAAAAATCAATTTTTGTTGGGAAATTAAAGTGATCACAGATTTTCTTTCTTTTTGCCCTAGCGCCCCTGGTTTAGCCAGAAAATGGACTTTTAAGTTTTCACCCAAAAAATCTATTTTTGTTGGAAAATTAAAGTGATCACAGATTGTCTTTCTTTTTGCCCTAGCGCCTCTGGTTTAGCCAGAAAATGGACTTTTAAGTTTTTACCCAAAAAATCGAATTTGTTGGGAAATTAAAGTGATCACAGATTTTCTTCCTTTTTGCCCTAGCGCGTCTGGTTTAGCCAGAAAATGGACTTTTAAGTTTTCACCCAAAAAATCGATTTTTGTTGGGAAATTAAAGTGATCACAGATTATCTTTCTTTTTGACCTAGCGCCTCTGGGAAATTAAAGTGATCACAGATTTTCTTTCCTTTTGCCCTAGCGCCTCTGGTTTAGCCAGAAAATGAACTTTTAAGTTTTCACCCAAAAAATCAATTTTTGTTGGGAAATTAAAGTGATCACAGATTTTCTTTCTTTTTGCCCTAGCGCGTCTGGTTTAGCCAGAAAATGGACTTTTAAGTTTTTACCCACAAAATCGATTTTTGTTGAGAAATTAAAGTGATCACAGATTTTCTTTCTTTTTGCCCTAGCGCGTCTGGTTTAGCCAGAAAATGAACTTTTAAGTTTTCACACAAAAAATCAATTTTTGGGAAATTAAAGTGATCACAGATTATCTTTCTTTTTGCCCTAGCGCCTCTGGTTTAGCCAGAAAATGGACTTTTAAGTTTTCACCCAAAAAGTCGATATTTGTTGGGAAATTAAAGTGATCACAGATTTTCTTTCTTTTTGCCCTAGCGCGTCTGGTTTAGCCAGAAAATGGACTGTTAAGTTTTTACCCAAAAAATCGATTTTTGTTGGGAAATTAAAGTGATCACAGATTTTCTTTCATTTTGCCCTAGCGCCTCTGGTTTAGCCAGAAAATGGACTTTTAAGTTTTCACCCAAAAAATCATTTTTTGTTGGGAAATTAAAGTGATCACAGATTATTTTTCTTTTTGCCCTAGCGCCTCTGGTTTAGCCAGAAAATGGACTTTTATGTTTTCACCCGAAAAATCGATATTTGTTGGGAAATTAAAGTGATCACAAATTTTCTTAATTTTTGCCCTAGCGCCTCTGGTTTAGCCAGAAAATGGACTTTTAAGTTTTCACCCGAAAAATCAATTTTTGTTGGGAAATTGAAGTGATCACAGATTATCTTTCTTTTTGACCTAGCGCCTCTGGTTTAGCCAGAAAATGAACTTTTAAGTTTTCACCCAAAAAATCGATTTTTGTTATGAAATTAAAGTGATCACAGATTTTCTTTCTTTTTGCCCTAGCGCCTCTGGTTTAGCCAGAAAATGGACTTTTAAGTTTTCACCCAAAAAATCAATTTTTGTTGGGAAATTGAAGTGATCACAGATTTTCTTTCTTTTTGCCCTAGCGCGTCTGGTTTAGCCAGAAAATGGACTTTTAAGTTTTCACCCAAAAAATTGATTTTTGTTATGAAATTAAAGTGATCACAGATTATCTTTCTTTTTGCCCTAGCGCCTCTGGTTTAGCCAGAAAATGGACTTTTAAGTTTTCACCCAAAAAATCAATTTTTGTTGGGAAATTAAAGTGATCATTCTTTTTGCCCTAGCGCCTCTGGTTTAGCCAGAAAATGGACTTTTAAGTTTTCACCCAAAAAATCGATTTTTGTTGGGAAATTAAAGTGATCACAGATTATCTTTCTTTTTGCCCTAGCGCCTCTGGTTTAGCCAGAAAATGGACTTTTAAGTTTTCACCCAAAAAATCATTTTTTGTTGGGAAATTAAAGTGATCACAGATTATCTTTCTTTTTGCCCTAGCGCCTCCGGTTTAGCCAGAAAATGGACTTTTAAGTTTTCACCCGAAAAATCGATATTTGTTGGGAAATTAAAGTGATCACAGATTATCTTTCTTTTTGTTGGGAAATTAAAGTGATCACAGATTTTCTTTCTTTTTGCCCTAGCGCGTCTGGTTTAGCCAGAAAATGGACTTTTAAGTTTTCACCCAAAAAATCGATTTTTGTTGGGAAATTAAAGTGATCACAGATTTTCTTTCTTTTTGCCCTAGCGCCCCTGGTTTAGCCAGAAAATGGACTTTTAAGTTTTCACCCAAAAAATCTATTTTTGTTGGAAAATTAAAGTGATCACAGATTGTCTTTCTTTTTGCCCTAGCGCCTCTGGTTTAGCCAGAAAATGGACTTTTAAGTTTTTACCCAAAAAATCGAATTTGTTGGGAAATTAAAGTGATCACAGATTTTCTTCCTTTTTGCCCTAGCGCGTCTGGTTTAGCCAGAAAATGGACTTTTAAGTTTTCACCCAAAAAATCGATTTTTGTTGGGAAATTAAAGTGATCACAGATTATCTTTCTTTTTGACCTAGCGCCTCTGGGAAATTAAAGTGATCACAGATTTTCTTTCTTTTTGCCCTAGCGCCTCTGGTTTAGCCAGAAAATGAACTTTTAAGTTTTCACCCAAAAAATCAATTTTTGTTGGGAAATTAAAGTGATCACAGATTTTCTTTCTTTTTGCCCTAGCGCGTCTGGTTTAGCCAGAAAATGGACTTTTAAGTTTTTACCCAAAAAATCGATTTTTGTTGGGAAATTAAAGTGATCACAGATTTTCTTTCTTTTTGCCCTAGCGAAGAAAATGCCAGAAAATGTACTTTTAAGTTTTCACCCAAAAAATCAATTTTTGTTGGGGAAAACAGATTTTCTTTCTTTTTGCCCTAGCGCCTCTGGTTTAGCCAGAAAATGTACTTTTAAGTTTTCACCCAAAAAATCGATTTTTGTCGGGGAATTAAAGTGATCACAGATTTTCTTTCTTTTTGACCTAGCGCGTCTGGTTTAGCCAGAAAATGGACTTTTACGTTTTCACTAAAAAAATCGATTTTTTTTGGGATATTAAAGTGATCACAGATTTTCTTTCTTTTTGCTCTCCGCCTCTGGTTTAGCCAGAGAATGGACTTTTAAGTTTTCATCCAAAAAATCGATTTGGGAAATTGAAAAGATTTTTTTGACTCAAAGATTCGGTTTTTTTGTTAGAAAATTAAAGAGATCACAGATTTGCTTTCTTTTTGACCTCTAGTTTAGCTAGAAAATGGACTTTTATGTTGCTTTTGATTTGCACTATATAAATATATATTATTATTAAGGAGCTTGTAATATAAACCTTAAATAATTACAAATTGTATTTCTTCCAGATTTGCCTTATAGAAACTTGTTACATTGATTTGTCATAACTTAAATGATAAAACATGGGAAATGGAATGAACAAGGTAAAATATGATATTATTATAGGATTACGAAATGTTTAAAATTCTATTACAATTTAAGGTATTGCCGGGCTTATATGTTGGCAACTATCGAGATTCAAAGGACACCCAACAATTGGACAAATTTCAAATAACTCATATTGTGGCCATACATGATAGTCCTAGAAGATTACTGCCGGTATGTATTTTTTTTAATTTTCGCTAGGCGAAAGTTTAATTTTATAAAATCGTTTTAGGATAAACACTATTTATGCGTAATGGCGGCAGATACGCCGGATCAAAACCTTTCGCAATATTTTAGCGTTTGCAATGATTTTATTCATGCTGCGCGTTTGAGAGAAGGCAACGTCCTGATACATTGTTTGGCGGGTATGTCTCGATCCGTTACTGTTGCTGTGGCATACATAATGACAGCTACCAATTTGAATTGGAAAGATGCTTTGAAAGTAGTGCGTGCTGGTCGCGCTGTAGCCAATCCGAATGTTGGCTTCCAAACACAATTACAGGAGTTTGAAATGTATCGTTTGAGTGAAGAACGCAGACGTTTGAGAGAAAGATTTCCCTCGACCGCTTTAGAACAGCTAGACCGGGCGAAATGTTTATCAGCCTTAGATAACTATGAAGAGTTACTGCAAAACAAGGATATATGCGAAGGAAATTGTGTGCGAGGCGAAAAATGTCCTACAGGTGGGCTGATTGTAGATTTTAAGGAGAAATCAAAGAATCAAGAATCAAGTTTAGGTAATGGTTCCACAGATAAAAGTATAAATCAAAGCTATACATTAACCTTTGCGCATGAGCAATGGAAGAATCCAAAAGCAAGAGGCTCAAGAACTAAAAAACCAGAAAATATTTGTTTGGAAAATGATGGAAGTGGTGTAGTGCTAATGGACAACGTAACATTTTATGAAGCTTTAATAAATCGAGTTACCAAGAGTCAATCCTTAGAATATTCCGAAAACTGATTAAAATTAATTGTACTTGTTTCACTAAAATTTAATAAATATTAATTTTTTGCCATTATTTCAATTAAAAAATTATACATCCATTCATTCATTTAATAACCGTTCATTCAAACCTTTACGAGTTATTACATTCCTATAAATATGTTTATTACATTGTTAAAATCTAGGTGTTTGCAATATGGACCCCACCAAAGGTCTCTTCCGCCGACGACCTTCATCTGCCTCAACACGATCACGCCTCCGACCTCAAAGTTCTACCGGAGGGGTAACCACCGCACAGTCGTGTCCGAATTCACCGAAACACAACACCCAAGGTGGCGTGGGGTCACGTCGTTCATTGGGTGGACAAAAAATTCCAGAAGACGAAGAGGCCCACCTTTCACCCACCACTTCTACTGAAGCGGCCGAATATGCAGCCGCTATTGAAGCAAGTCGCTTAGAGGCTCAGCAGCAACTATTACAGCAACAGCAACAACAAAAACAACAACAACAACTTCAAAAATCACCTACAAGAAATTCTATAAGATCACCTCGTGTCAGCAGTGCTGGGAGTCGTTTGACTGGAAATTCAAAATCAGTTAAAACCAATAATAGTTCGGCGTCTACTACAACAGGTGGTAAAAACGGATCCCCACATCTTCAACGTAGTGCCAGTACGGTTAGTGGTTTGGCCGTTCGACCTCGCAGCAGTCCAGCCGGCTTACATTCCTACACAGGTGGTTCAGCCAATCAGTAAGATAAAATTGGATTTTCATAGTATTTCCTAAATTTTTTAGGTTCCGTGCCATCCTCCGTCCATGGATCGCGTGTCGATTTGCGAGATGCTGACAAGGGATCGGCCATATATTTAGGTTGTTCGGCACCACGAAATTCTTCGCTGTCACTAGCCTCCTCACGTGCTTCGTCGGGATCATCGGCACCACCCTCACCGGCAAGAACACCACCTGTTAGTCCTCGTCAGGGCGTTAGAAGGTAAAACAATACTCAAATGATCATCAAATATTGGATTATTTAACACTATTTATTTCCTTCAACAGATCCACCAGTTTAATAAAGAAACAGAGATGAAACTTCATGATGATTTTTTATAAAAATCATAACCGACAATTACGTTGTTTTCTTAAACAATTCAAATTTAAGTGATTCTTACGCGAAAGCAATGATAAACGTTCTAAGCTTAAACAATTATTAGTATATACTGCAAAGGGATCATATGGAAGAGACGCATTTTTAAAGAATTAAGACAATTTTTTAAGAAGCATTTTGTTTTAAAAGTACTCTTACTTACTGCTTAAAACAAATATTAAACATTAAAGCTAATCTAAATCTCAATTCCAAATATAAACTTAAAATCTATATTAAAAACTATAAGCATTTAACGCTTAATCTGATAAAATTAAAAATATATAAAAATAATAATATAAAACTGAATCTATATACAACATAAGTTCAAATATGTAATTAAAGGCATAAACTTTAAAAGCAATTAAACTAGATTTCATACGTTTTGTTAAGTAAGGCTTAAATATGAACTAAATATTTACATAACAAAAAACTTTAATTATAAACTGAAGAAAATCTATCTATATTAACTGAAAATATATTTAACAATCTGGAGCTATTGTCAAAAACAAAGACATTTATTTTTTCTACACTTTTCTGACTATTAAGCTTACATTCATATATCATATTGACATAATTAAAATGAAGCTATCGAAATATAAGTAAATTAATTAAATACCGGATCATTTCATAAACTATACTCAGATAGGCAATTACACACAAATCTATATTTACAAATTCAACGCTGGTACCTTTAAAAGTAATACATGAAATATAAGATTACAGATAATAGTACATGTTTGTTACCTGTTAAAATTTAAGAAAAGCAAATAATTATTTAAAATGATTAGCTCAACTCAGTAATTTTTTAAATTTACTTATTTAAATAAGAACAGATTTATTTAAGAAAGTTGTTAACTTATTAAGGTTTGAGAATTACAATTTAGAAACAAATCCGAATGTAAAATGTATTACTACAGAAGTTGCACTAACTTCATTTTAGAGGACCTGTATGGCCTTAAGATTTTTATGATAATAATCATAACTGAAAGAAATCTAAAACAATTTTGAACTTTCAATATTAATATTATTTAATTATAATTATTCTATGAAAAACAACCACACAGGAAAACATAAAATATTGTTAGATCAAACTTGTTTAAAATCTCCTCATGTGTAGCAAATGATTCCTATTCTCGTAGAGCTTTAAGGTACTACGAATGATATCGCATTTTACATAATGATAAACACACAAACATTCATACATAGAAATGTACGTACATATTTATGTACAGTTTGAAATTGATTATAATTGATATAAATATAGAGAAATTTCTTTGAAAATATATTAAATTTTGTTTTATATAAATTTATATTTTTAACTTGATAAGTCAAGTTCATTTAGATAAACATAAAAGTTGTTTGTTAGAAATATCTTAGATTTTTTATACAAAAAAGCATAAAATACCATTGTTTTTATACCAAAAAGTTGTTACATGTTATTGTTAAATAAATTAGCTTTAAACTTTAGAGAAAAGCCTTTTTGTTTTTTTTTTTTAATAGCGAAAGCTTGTCTATTAGCATTAAAAATATAATACGGAAAAATATTCAAATCCACATTTTTAACTTTTCGAAAAATAACTAAATTTAAAATATTTAGCTTAATTTTCATTAAAAATGCCACAATCATTTAAAATATAAAAAAAAGAAAACAAAATATAATTTTTTAACAACACCCAAAATCAACTATATGCACCAATAAAATAAAATGCTATATAAAAAGTAAATAAATTTAAAATGACCTCGACAAAAATACAATGCAAACAGTTAAATTTCCGTTTGAATTATTTTTAATAAAATGATTCTTGTGCGACTTACTCAATTATTTTGAAGTCGATATTTTTTGATCTACCATTAAATATATCGCATTGTCTCTAAATATTTTTTAAAAAATTCAGAAATATACAAATTGTTAATAACCTGTTAGGTCATTTTAAGAGTTTAAAACACTGTGTAATATTACAAACAAATTAATTAAACTTAATTGAATAAAAAAATTAATGTTATTAAAATAAAATATTTATGTTAATGATTTTTATAAAAAAATAAAGAAGTTATTATTATTATTATTATTTATGTTTTAATTATTTTCTTAAATAAAGGCATACAAATTTTGAGGTCTGATTGAGGTCAAATGGGAAAATTTCATTCAATATTCCAAGCGAATAAGAATGAAAATAATAATCAAATTAAAATATAAATCGGTGTGCAAATTAATCAATGAAAATTGAGGATCTACCTACTCACCATTTAACTCTTCTCCTTTATATTGTTTTTTATTTTATTAGATTATAATTTAATTTTTTTCTATAAATTAATTTATTAATTAATTTTAATAATATATTTTTATAACAACATTTAATAAACTTATTTCATTACAACAATATTGGCAATATATTTTTTTATAAGAAAAATATTTCTTTTACATATTTATTTTAATTTTATTATACTTTTGAAACATGCTTATTCCACTGCACTACTTTCATATTAATTTTCTCCTTAGGCACTTTCAAGCCTAATATAAACAATAACAAATACGCGAGTAAACATTTAAATTTATTTTCCACGAACTTTCACTTTTTCTACAATTTCGCTTTTTTCATTCTTTAGAAAATTATAATAAAACAAATTAATGCATGATATTTTCTCAGCATAATAACATTTATTCAATAAGAAAATGGACGACCGCCAATAATTTATATTTTTTCACGAATATGCAGCACGTTTTCATTCTATTTTAGTTTTTTTATATTCATAATCATTTATTGAATGTTTTGTACAATGTTTTTTCACAATATTTAATAATATCATTTAGTTTTTCAACGAAAATTAAATATACGCGACAATAAACTCCGAAAACATCTTATCACTTATCAAATTTAGAGAAAACTAAAGAGGAATTGCAATTAAACATTTTATTGTTGTTGTCAGTACCGTTATAAGCAATGCAATAACAAATAACAAAAAAAAGTGGTGTAGATGAGAGTGTGTGGCTGCACTAGCAAGTTAAGCGTTGCCAGATTAGTGATTTAATTAAAGTGTTGCGGTTTATGAACAAAATTAGTAATTTTAACGATTGAAAATGAAATAAGCAAAGACACACTATGTTGGATAAAACTGTTTTGAGTGGACACTTTTTATGCACACATACATGCATATGTATTTTGTATTCCTATTGGAAGATTTTTATTGACATAAATAATTAAATTATATTCGTCCATTTTGGTGGCAAAATTAAATAAATAAATATATACACATTCTACATAAAATTAATCTACTTAAATTAAAAAGACTAGATCGATTTCACTATTAAGTACAACTAAAATTGAACATTCTTACACTTTTTGTGTATTCAATATTTCTGGATATCGATGGTTAAATGTTGACACTACGTTTTATTTTTAACCATTATTAACTTTCAGGTATCTTTATGATTCAGCAAGAGGGGCGTATTGGCAGAAGGAAAAGAGGACGGACGTCTTTGGCGTTGGTAAGTACTTAAATCTTCACAACTTTGGCAAGATAATGTTGACTCTTCATAACGAGATTGACAAGAACCGCCAGACGATCGCCTTACACCGCTATAGGAATCGGTAATGACTTCTAGCAAAGCCTCATCACTAAAAGCGCAGAAATAAGAAAATAAAAACAATATTTGTCCGATATGTTGGATGCAATGCACATTAAATATGTATATACCTGTGATAACGATGGTGCTCTAATAGAGTGCCAGTGGCAAATCGTAACTTTTTTGGTGACTCCAAACTAGAGGAGCGAGCCAGTGAATTCCGGGCCATATTTTTATTTTTTAAAGACGATCGTATACCCAAATCATTTGCTGCCGACAACTGATCCTGTTGTTGTTTTATTGTTCCCTGTATGAATTTGTTTAAGGCTCGAGAGCCTCTTCTCTGTGATCGTTCATAGGTTCGCTTCGCTTTAGCCTCTTCGTCCTCTCCAAGCAACCAATACGTCCGTTGTTCACCTTTGCCTTTCATATTAATAATACCTCGTTCTTGATAATGGTAACCGCCAAGTTTTTCAAGCAAGTCTTTGCATTGCGAACTGCAATGTATTTTTAATGGTACCCCCGATGACTCCATGCGAGAAGCGGTATTAACGGTGTCTCCAAAAAGACAATATCGAGGCATTTTAAGTCCTACAACACCAGCACATACAGGTCCTGAGTGGATACCTATTCGTAAAAGCAATTTGTTGTGAGGACGATGGCGAATTTTAAATTCGGAAACCGCACTAAGCAGATGTAAAGACATTGAAGCTATTTCGGCTGCATGTAAATCACCATTTCGTATCGGCAAACCAGAGACCTTGCAAATGTGAGCGATTGAACATTTTAAAATTTAAATGCATTATGTTTCATTTGTATTTATTATTTACTTACTACCATATACGCGTCTCCTATAGTCTCGACTTTATACACGTCATAATGACCGATAATTGAATCAAAGCACGTATACAAATCATTTAAAAAATCAACCACCTGCAACGGAGTGCTCTCTGCAGACATGGCTGTAAACCCCACTATATCGCTAAAGTATATAGAAACTTGTTCATAACTTTCGGGATCTACTTTGTGTCCTTTCTTTAATTGTTCTGCCACGGGTCGTGGAAGCATCTCCAAAAGCAAAGCATCAGTTTTCTTTTTTTCTTCCTGCAACTGGTCAGTTCTCTCGTCCACTAAAGCTTCCAAGTTATTGGCATATTTCTCCATCATTGCCATCATATTATCAAATATATTTGGCTTCATGCCCTTCCGCAATGGTCTTAATTTTGCACGTATGGTCTTAAAGTCCGGCCTTTCTTCGGGCTTTTCACACCAACATTCTTTTAAAATTTCTCGTACGCAATCGAAAGATGTTTCTAAGGGTTGCAAAGAAGGACGATAAGGATATAACGTATCCTGAACTTGCAAAACTTTCTGTAAACATTGCATGGCCGAAAGTCCAGTTTCACCAAATGGCCCATGTCTTGTATGAATTTCATATAACACAATACCAAAAGAGTAAGAATCTCCTTTCTGAGAACCCATGACTAAAGAAGCCGGGCCTTGACGTAGCAACTCAGGCGCACGATAAAGAAGTTCTGGAATATTATCAACAAATCACGTTACGTATTTTGAAATTGACAGATTTATTTTTTTATTTATTGATAATTTTACAACATTAAGTTAATGCGTTCAATAAATTAATTTTTAAATTATTATCCTCGTTTCGAAAAACACTTTTAATGAAAACCTATACTCAAGATGTATTAATTTAATTATACCATGCCTATACTAATTTTTTAAAACCAAAAATTAATTTAAAAAATTAAAAAAAAAAAAAATAAAAAAACTTCCATTCGCAGTCGGTAGGATTCGAACCTACGCTCCCAGAGGGAATCTGATTTCTAGTCAGACGCCTTAACCGCTCGGCCACGACTGCTTACACAAGCAAACTGTTCAAAGACTTACAAATGTTAGCAACTTTTTTAACAACAGTAAATCGTACGCCATTCACAAACATGCTTAAGATACATTTGAGAATTAGTATACTATATGTAGACAGTAGTATTTTGATGTTTAAAAATAAATATAAAATTATTTATACGAAAAGTTTTGAGTTGTTGCAACATGAGCGCAGCAAAAGTAGCTAACTCTATCTATTATCATTTTATAAGTTTTGAAAATTTTCAATGTATGTATGCCGGTTGTTTTTATATGTAGCAATAGTAATAGGTACATCAAGTAATAGTAATAGGTACAGGAAGATTTTTTATTGAAATATTAATTTTCAAGAGAAATACCGCTGTTGGAGTTAATATGATAGGAATCTGTATTCTTTATTTTTTTATACGAAAGCAAATAACTAATGTAGATAAATTCTAGTTTTTAACATTATTTCAGAAAATTACTTTCTACGAATGTTTTTTATTTATAATACTTACTTGAACATTTGGCTGACATCGATTGAATGTCTGTGGAATTGTCCTCTATACCTTTTTTAAAGGCAAAAAGTCCAAAATCTGTTAGCTTAACAACCCAGCGTGAGTCAATCAAGCAATTTGATGTACACAAAGAACCATGGAAACGTATGGGCGATTCATGTAAATAAATGACACCCTAATGTAAAGGACAAATGAAACAATGAAAGGAAAGAAATCAAAGATGGAAAGTAACAATGAAATCTATTTTGATTGTTTTTCTCATAACAAGGATTATGACTTACTCGTATTATGTCGGCCACCATTGAAGCAATAAACATGTTGTCCAGCTTGACGTCTTCATTTTCCAAAATGTCCTGTTGGCATTATTGCAGCCAATGAAATATGAAGAAAATTCAATAAAGTTACATTTTCACAATCCAACTATTTATAAAGATTAAGTACGTTTTTATACTAAGGGTGTACATTGCTCACCTTTAAACTACCCCTTGTGCAATATTCAGTAATAATACAAATATTCGGTGGATCTGTACAAGCTCCAATAAAAGCGCATATATTATCATGACGAGTATCTCTTAACTGTAAATACGATAAATGTTAAAGAAATAAACGATTTTCTTATTTTTTTATTTACCAATTTAAGTTCTTTCTTCATTTCTCTCGTTATGTCAACACATTTTTTGCGCACTTTTTTAATAGCATACAATTGTCCTTTGTATAGACCGATTGGTGTAAATATGGTAGTGTAACGAAAGTCTGCATCAGGATTTGAACTTAAACTAACTTGGCTTGTTCGAATTAAAGGATGGGTTGACTAAGTAATGAATAATATAAGACACATAGAAAAAGATGTTATTTATTAAAAGCTTTGGAAATAAATTAATAATTTCTATAAAACATTGACTATAAAAAAGCACCAGGTTTTTCGACATGTTTAATATAATTTTAGTGCAAAGTTATAAAAATATGATATAAATTATGAATTAGAAGAATGATTGTTCTATTTGCATTTACTAACTTACCCTTGTTTGTTTTTGAGCATTTGATTCTTTTTCATTTTCATGCATTTGAACTTCCCGAAAATCAATTTTCCATAACAAACTATCCAATTCTTGTTCATAACGCCAGTTGCGATATAATACCAACGAAACAATGCCCAGTAATAGTAAAGCACCCCCTGC